AGGAGGGTTGCGGGATACCGAACCTGCGCTGGTGATGGGGTCCCTTGAGGAGCCGGGCCGCCTCGGGAAGCAGCCGCGCTGGGGCTCGTTTATAGGTCGGGGAGGCGGAGGGTCCACGGAGCTCCAGGCCCCTCCAGCCCTGGCCAGCCCGTGCTAAAAGGTGGTTTTAGTTCAGAGGAGATAAAGGAGCAATGAACGCATGTTTGCCCCCTTGACCAAAACAATTTTTTGAGAAGGCTCGATAAAAATGTAATAACAACAACCCGCCGACCTCTACTATTGCGTGTTTTGCAAGAGTGTGTTTGTGCCCTGAGGGTGCGGTGGGGGCTCAGTGGGCTTTTGCGACCAACCAGGCGACCGTTTTGTGACTTGACACGGCATGGCAACCAGGCTGCGAAAAGGCCCACAACTTTTTGAAAAGGGGCCCTGAGTCCGAAAAAGACTGTTTAACCTTGGAGCGCAGCACTAATCTTCTTTATTTCCCGTTAAAATTAACCTTGGTCTTGGGCCAAGGGGAGCAGGGATCACCATTAGTAGTTTGCTGAAGGTTGAACCTGTGTGCTGTTCTGTGACAGCAGTACACGCACGCGCCAGGTTCAAATGGTGGGAGTTTGCTTGTGGATTAGACAGGGATGCGTGGTCTGTGACACATCCGGGGTTCCTGAAACATGACTCTCAGCGTTTCCTGGCTATACCGCCAAGGGATGCTGTGGTACTCCTGTAACACCTGGAGCTATCTCAGAACATACTCGTGAACCCAGCCAGCTGGAGTTAATCACAAACTGTGTTTAAAACAAACCATAGCTTAGTGCAAGCTGCAAAACCAATTTCCCCAGTGTTTTAACTGCAAGCATAGGAGTAGCTTTCTGGATCAAATTTGTTTAGCAGAAACATTTTTTCCAGTGACCATTCCGCTTCATTGGATAAACCCTGGTTCAGGTATTACAGGGAAAGTTTTATCCATGTTTTCCTTGGCACAGTTTTATACATCTCCTATTTGCTTTAAGTATTAAAAGTTCAGGAAAAGTTCCCTAGGCAGTGGACTAATTCCTTATCTCATTGCCATCACGTATATGGTTATGCTGATTTCTGCAGTTTTGAGCCTTTTGACTTCCCTTTCAACTTCTCTTTTATCAGTCCCATCATTTTTATAACATTTCCTTTTTGTTATTTCTGTATAGTCCCCAGGCATTTCACTGTTTGGGATTTTCTCTGAGTTTGTCTATTTTCATATAAGGCAAACTAGATAGACGGACAGGCAGGCAGGTTTTTCGGTCAGTGCAGTAACAGTAAGACCAGGTTGTCATTGCCTCTTGGGATCAAATCACGGGTTTCCTTTCCTCTTTTTATTTGTGTGTGGGTGCAGTTGAAAAAGATTAATAAGGTGTAATAATTATGAGTGCTAGTTGAGGTTACACAATTTCTCAGTAAACAGGTACTGATTGGCAGCACTAGAAATTAAAAAAGCACGCAGTAAAGGTTTCACAGACTTGATATGAAAATCTCAGTGCAATTCTTTCTGGTGCTGCTTAATCACTGTTATTTATAATGATTGTTTTTATTCTGACATAATTCTTCCTCCAGAATAAGCCCAGAGGAGTAAAAGAAAATTAAAACAATCTTCTAATTGATAAAAGAAGCTCTCATAAGTGATTTTTTAAAATTTAATCTTGTTGCTTTAGATAATACGATGCAAAATTAATGTTAAAAGAAAATTTAGTCTTAAAGCAGTCGTTACCCTGCAAATACTCAGGTAATATTTGTGTTTTTGTAGTTGCTTTATCCACATTTTTTTATTTTTTTGCTAGAATGGGAGAGCAGTTTGCCTGAAACACAATACATTTGCCAGCCTTCACATTACCTGAGACGATGTTTCTCATGAATACCTCTCCTTTGGTGGCCCTTCAGAGAAAATGGGAACCTTTTCCCCAGTCAAGGAATTGCAGGTATCCGGTCTGTTTCTCAGAATCTGAAGAAGATCTTGCTAGAACAGCTGTAAATGCCAAAGTCCAGATGATCATAAACAATCTGCAAAGCGAAGAAGTGGCCTTGGGTGCCAGCAGTGAATATGGCTGCATCATGCAGAAGAAACAGAAGGGATCAAAAGATAGCGGACACAGATTTCGGAGGAATGACCAGAGGCTGCAGGAGCATATTAAATACACCCTTCGCAACTGCCCAGCAGACTCTGATGGAATGGACATGGAAGACAGTGCAGAGTTTGGACCTCTCTCCTTGAATTCTGACAGCGATGATTCCGTGGATAGAGATATAGAGGAAGCCATTCAAGAGTACCTACGGAACAAGGGCCAGAACATTCCCCCACAACCAAATAACACCGAGAATTTGCCAAGTAAGGATGAAGATCAACCGGTCCAACAGGAATATCCCTCCCATGATGTTGCTTGTCGTTTATGTCCTGCTGGTTGTGGCCCAGTCAGCGTGGCCCAGCAGTATGTTGTTTCTGATCATGTTGGAGATAATGTTGTCCAATGGGCTTCCTCCCCTTGTAGTGCGAGCAGCGATGACTCTTTCGAACAGAGTATAAAAGCTGAGATAGAACAGTTCTTAAAGAAAAAGAAACAGCAAGCAAGAAAGAAGATCACAAGGAGGAATAAGCAATTTCATCAGAGAGAAGAGTTTCAAGAGAAGTTAGCCGTCAGTCAGAAAGGCAGCATTAACAGAGGGAATCGAAATTCTTTAAAGCAAGGGGGCAAGGTATACTTCCCAAAGCAGCATCCTGAACTACGAAGTATCAGCACGCCTAAATGCTTGAAGTCAAAAACCAGGGAAGAGCCTGCAGCCTTAAAAGCAGAAAGAGAAGCAGACTTTTCAACTCCAACAGTTTGTTATTCCTCCATCCTGGAAGAAAGCAAAAAAAGTGGGAAGAGGCAGATGCTTTGCAATGCCGGAAGAGAGGAAAGAGTTAGTATAGATTTATCCGATTCGAGCAGTGATGATGGGATTGAAGAAGCTATTCAGCGTTATCAGCTTGAGAAGATTAAAAAAGGTCCAGAGTCCAGAGCAGCCTATGTTTCTTTGCAGAAGGAAGAATTCAGTGCCAGGAAGGCAGAGAATATTTCCCCAAGCCTGACAAGCTCCTTGCCAGAAATCACTCAGAAAGCTCAGAGCTGCAGGAGGAAAGATGCCAGTGCAAAGCCAGCAATATTAAGTAGGCTTGGGGCCACTTGTAATGATCTGGGAAAAAGCAGAAGTCATTCTCCTCCCGAAGACAGTTTTGCCAAATGTGCAGTCACATTTCAGGCCTCTTGTCGAGCAGACACTGCTGCTGAATTAATGTGCGCAGAAGCGATACTAGATATCTCCAAAACTATTTTGCCTCCTCCAACAGCAAGTGATAGCAAACTATTCACAGCTAGTCCTTTCTTTCCTTCACAAAACATGCTGCCTTCCCAGCATGACAGTGACAATACTGTGGACAGTGACGATAGCATTGAGCAAGAGATAAGAGCTTTCTTGGCTGTCAAAGCAAAGACTGAGCACTTGATAGCAAAATCCAGAGAAGTCTCACACGCTTTCCAGATGCCTCCTTCTTTGGGTCAGTCCAATGAGCAGACTCAGAGTTCCAGGCAAATGTTCCCCAAATGCTTAAAACTGCCACTGAATCGCAAAAAGAAACTTAAGAGGAAAAGTGAAGTAGTCACCCAAAATGAGGACGCACAACTGATCTTCTCAGAGATGGACTATTTGGATAGGAACCTTTCAAAATCCTCTGTAACCCAACTGAAAGATGAAAGAACTGGAAAGGTGGTTATATACCCAAAAGACACGCTAACTACTATTAGTTCTATCAGTCTTGCAAACCCTTTGTCTCATGCATTTCATGGTTCTGGAAGTCTTGTAGAAAATGTAACACGAGGTCAGCAGAAATATGGGGCAGATGATAAAAGCAGCTCATTTGATAGTGATGAGGATTTGGATACAGCTATCAAAGATCTGTTAAGATCCAAACGGAAGTTAAAGAAAAAATCCAAAGACCAAAGAGTTCACTGCAAAAGGAAAGTCAGATTTGGTGATGCTGAAATGCATATTTTTTATAAGAATGAGAGAGACAGCCAACCCCAAACTCCCACCTTATTAAAAAAGTGTCTTGTAAGTTCCAGGAGAGACAGAGAGGGAAATGTAAAGAAAGAGCCCCTGAGAAAACCGAAAGGTACCATAGAGTTTGAACATGAATGTAAAAAGGAATGCCAGACCAAACCAACTTCTGGAGCTGAAATCCAGGAGGCCACAAAGACTCATCCATGCCTGTGGGCTGTGACATCCTTGGCGGATGACAGCAGTTCCATAGACAGTGATGACAGCATTGAACAAGAAATCCAGAGGTTCTTGGCAGAAAAGGCTAAGGCCTCCACAAGGGTCGGGGTGTTACCAGATGCCAGTGGAGTTGCTGAGACCTTTGGAGCTGATAAGCCTCAGGCTGCTCTGTCGAAAGCAAAGTGGCAACTACTCAGGTGTGGAGGCAGTGCCTCACAGAAAGAGGGCAAAAAGATGGAGAGGTTGGACCCACCAGTTCCTGAGCTGAGCAGCTGTCTGAGATGCGCAGGAGAGACGGAAGAAAATGCATCTCACCCCAGTGAACAAGTCAGATCGTTCATGGAAGATGGGGGCAGCCAGGCTCAAGTGGCAAACACACACACTGTGGAAACAAAGGGGATTGAGCTACCTGTAAAAAGAGCTGCAGTCCAAAGAAAGGATATTTGGGATGACAGGCTTGATCAAAGGGCCCTTTCATCTGGGAAGGGCAAAGCAGAGAGTTGTAAATGGCAAAATTATTTTAAGACCATCCCCTCTTTCAAAAGGAAGAGCTCGTATGAATTCAAAATATCCAGCAAATTTCTAGCAGGTCTCAAAGGTGGTGGGAATAAGAAGAAATCTCTGCTTTTGGGAAAAAAACAGGGCATTAACCTTTCTATGCTCAAGAAGCATGGAGGTATCTTGGCAGCAAATTCGTTTGGTGAGAAGTCTCTGCCGAAAGAGATTGTGGATTCCAGAAGTGAGGCAGGAATAAGAGAAGTAGATCAGGGTCCTGGGTTCCAGGCAAGAAGTTTGTGTCCCTGCAGACAGGAAGGGAATGGAAGTGCCCAGGAGACCACCGTATCTAATGAAGTGGTAAACTCAGCCAAACATCCTGTGAAAGGCCACAAGGTAGATTCCAGCCAAAGCCCCCCTTTGCAAGAGCCTGGCATAGAGGAGACCAGAGAGGTCACAGCTAGCCCCGGGGTAACACTTGCTGAAGTCCCTGCTAGGGAAGGGAAAATCCTGGAGTACAGCAGCAGTTGGGCGAAGGGTAAGGTTCCTGACAGCCCTTGCGATTTATCCACGGAAGGGAACACGACCAGCCAAGGTAGGATAGCAGAAGAACAAACCCAGCACCTTCCAGAGGTTACAGGTGGGCCCATGGGAGAACACACACACTGTCTCCTGAAAACAAAGGATTCTGGTTTATAAGTCCTTTATTTTACAGCGTTGGCATTTTTAAAAGGCGACTAAAGCTAAATCTGTGTTCTAAGTTAGAACTTCTCACATGAAGTTTAATATCTGTGTTGGAAGAGATAACGTACGCAGACTGATTCAAGCTCCTGTTGCATGAGTAGCTCAGATTGGTCCATCTGTAGTGAGAAGTGTGTGCTTACGAAAATAAATACCTCTTGTCACAGAGATCAATCTGTGTTAGAGAAAACAGTGATGGCAAGGCAACCAAAGTGATTGTATTTTAGGGAACCTGAGACTGGAAGGGGAGGCAGTAAATGCAGAGCTACTACCCATGATGCCCACCTTATAAAAAAACACATCTCCAATTACGCCTATCCAAGGTTTTGTTTTCTCTTTTGAAGGAATGATTTCTTTATATGAAAAGAGCGGCTCTTTAAGGAAAACTTTATATGACAATTTATACAGCATGCTTAACTGCAGGTCGTTATGGTTACCAGGGTTTTTCATAGCAGATGATTAAGGTCACTGTGTTTTCAGACCGTTTTCTGGTAAGCCTTCCAGGTCTGTGGGACTCCTTTCCCCCTCTAGCCTTCACGGCTCTAGGCTGTAAGATTTTGGGAGGCAGGATTATTATGGGAGCTGGTTCAATAAAAGAGCGTCAGGTTGGAGGAGGATGCTCAAACTGAAGTCCTCTCTCACCCTCTTAAGCATTTATCAGCTGTGAAGAGAATTTTACAAAAGATGCAGAACAGTTAATCTAATGGGCCAGTTATAAAAAAACAATCTTTAAAAAAAAATAGTGTTTTTATAATTGAAACCCATAGAGGTTTTTTTTTTTTTTTAAAGAATCTCGTAGAGGCCATTCTTCTGTTCTTTGTCCAGCTTTGTTTCTTATCCCAATCCAGAGGGTTGCACAGGAACTCTCTGGCCTGCAGTCTGAGCTCCCTGGGTCCAATAAAACAAGGGGGCAGGACCGGCAAAGAGAAGAGCTGTTTTTCTGCTGGAGGGCCTTCAGGGAGGTGAATTTACAAGGACTTGGCTGCATTTACCACTCAGTGACTTGATGCTTCTGGAGACTCTTCAGTCAAAATAATGGACATCCTCAATAATGCCAAAGGGAGGAGTCCCAAGTCTGGAGGCACCTTTATTCTTTCATATTCTTAAAAAAAAAACTCCAGGTTATTTCTAGCTGGATCATTGAGGGGTAAATGTGGAGATAGAGGAGCAGTCTTAATTCCAAACTGAAATTTAACCTGATCTTTTTCTAGTGGCATTTTTTTCCTGTTAATGCTGCTTTTGTAGGATTAAAGTCCTGTGAATATCCAGTTAGCCTGTTTCTTCTCTGTGTAAACCCTACTGGACGTTCCTTTCGCTTACATTCTTGGGGACTGGGTGTGTGATGGAGCATTTGTATTCATTTCCTGTTGAATTTCAATACTTTGTAGCTTGTAATGCTCTTTGATTGAAGATGCACTTTTTAAATTAAGAAAACTTGTTTTGTATATAAGAAATGGTGTACATTCATACATTTATAAGATTTAATAAACTGAGTTCAGATCACGAAACATGATCCAAAACCTATTTTTAGTTTTCTGTCATATATTTTAAAGATGGGTCCACATCTTTGGATCCATATTTTTGGAATGTCCATGCCCCAAAGTGGTGTCCAGTGATTCTCTTCTTCAAGCAGTGGCTGGGTGTCCACTGAACTTGAATTCCTGCACTAAGCTGCTGGTTGGGCTCTGCACTTGGAGTTCTATGAACATTTTGGTCCTGCTTGCTCTGGTGACATTAGCAGATCATCTTTCACACTCCCTGCAACCCTCACAGGCCAGAAACATTTAACAAAAAAGAAAAAAATGTTCATCTCTGCTTTAGGGTACCTGGACAGGGCCCCAGAGAAGAAAAAGTCTTTCCAAAATGTGGGATATTGAGAAAATATGCACTACTGCTTATCAGGTCTCACCTGGGAAGACATGGGTGGGATTCTCTGTGGTCCAAACACAGGAGAAAAGTGATTTACCAGAACCGAAGGTTGGCCTGCAAGAATGAATCTCGACTTCATGAAACCAGTACCCTTTGGAATGGTTTCACTCTTGTGCTAAGCCCCAATTTTGGTAACTCTCATTTGTTGAACAAACCTCCATTGCCTGGATTTAGGGTTGACAAAGCACAGTGGCTAAGCCACAAAAAAGTTGAGCGTGTTACAGCTTTGCTGTGATATTGAACCCACTGCACCTTTTCTGGTTTGGCTGTAATAACATTTTATTGAACCCGCTGCATTAAGCTGTAGTTTGCATAACAATCATTCCTGGAATAAACTCGCTATTGTATCAATTGTAGGGATTTTTGCCACTTGCTTCCATATCCTTCACACTGGATGCTTTTCTTAATATTGGTTGTTAGAGGGTCACGTGTATAGACATGTTTATTTCTACCCTTATTTTTCAACTGATTAAGAGAAATTGATGGTTTAGAAAGGGTTGATAAAACTGCTTCAGGTTTGATATTAGAGAGGTAAAGTTGATAAGGCCATTGCACAAATGAAAATACAGTATTAGGAGCTCAGTGCAAATCTGCACAACCCTATCTTCAGAGCTTGACCAGTCAGGAACAAGCGTGGAGTTTTCCTCCTTTTCAAATACTACATTTTTTGTGTACAAGCTTCCTAACTGATATTGTTAAACTGAAGTCACGTAGTACTTCTACTGTGATGTCCCAAGCAGTCTTGTTTTTGAAGTTCTCCACATCTCTGATGTATTTCCTAGTTTAAATATTTTTGACCTACTGTTCAAATTACTTGGAAGGTGTAAAAACAAATCCATAGCCTAACATTTCTTATCAAAGGCTGAAATGGTTGCACTTAGTTTTTTATTGACTCAATGTGGAAGTGTTTAATTGCACACAGAGCCAGGGTCACAATTACGTTTTCCAGTCCCCCGATTTTTCCAGCAGTGGCCTCCTATCTTGCAGGTCTCCTCTTGGCCCTATGAGGAAATTAAACGATTCTAGCTGAAGCATTAGTAATTTCCGGATGGCCAAAATGGTTAAGCAGTGGAAGTTCTGCTCAGAACAGAGAGGGATTCCTCCTTGCTGGAGGTTTTCAGAAGGGGGCTGTGGGGAGTCACTTCTCAGGAGACGGTTTCTGCTCTAGGCAGGAGTTTTCACCAGATAACCTGGTCTTGCCAACTTTGGAGTCTCTGATAATTGCTGATTCTGAGCATCATTCAGACATTTCCTGGCTCTAGATTTAGCAGAATGCCATTTTCATAGGATGTTTGTTTGAGCTCTGCAGAAATTCCTGCTCTAAACTTAAAGTCTCTATTCAATAGAAGAGAGCCACAAACAGCGGCTATTACAAATGTCCCCACAATTTACTGACGTTCACAAACATCCATGGTCACCCGCCCCCCAGCGTTTTCTTTCATGTGTGCTGGGTACATTCCGAGAACCCCCCTCGGCATCAGAGCTGTTGAAGCAGGAACATCACTGCTTCTTCTGGCACCCCCTCAGTGAATTGCTGCTGGATTGATTTTACAGTGGCATTGGCCCACTTGGCCCTTTCTTCGCCAGGCCAGCGTAAGAAAGGACGGGCAACCAAGCAGTCAGGAGCTCACACATTCACTCAACTGTAAGTCGTGGTGAGCCTGTTTGAAAAATGGTATCTATGAATTTGCTTCTTTGATACTGTGGGTTTGGGTTTTCTGATTTTTTAAAGATTTATTTTTAAAAAGCTGTGCAGAAAAACGGCCATAATCAAATGCCTGGCGTTTCAATCTCCGTCGCTTTTCTTAGGCAGTTCGTTCATTCGTCCCATTCAGGAAGCCACCCATCTCACACAAAGCGACTCCGGGCAGCATGCAACAATTAAATAAAACAGCAAATAGATAAAAATCATTGTGAAAAGATAAAAAGTAATTATGAAAATTAAAATATGAAAAATTGCCAATTAATTTAGCCTCATTGTCTTTGGCCAACTAAAACCATGATTTGGCTTTTCCCTGGTACAGAGAAGGATGGAACATTTAGGCAACCCAGAACAGAAGAAACAGAGAAAAATTAACTGTTCATTTGTTCTATTTTTTTCCAGGAAGGAAAAGAAAATTGATTTGGTGGCAAGACAAACTGCAACTCTGTTAGAAAAGCAGTAGCAAAGAAACTAAAGGATTCCCATTCCTGTTCTCATTTGCAACAGTCAGTTGGATTTTGCCCACTGAAATTTAGTGCAGCTAATTCTGCTTTTCAGGAAATAAAAAGGACAGAAACCAGTGGATTTACCCCACCCCTTCCCAACAATTTAAGTCTTTTGTTGTGCAGATTCTTCATTGTTACAAATGGCATTCTTTTAAAGAGCTTTGTAGGTCAATGATTATTCTTATGTAAAGTTTACAACCTGAAACCATGCCTTACAGAGCACCTTGGAATCAGCCTGGTTCTGCTTTGATAGAGATTTGGTGGGAACCTGTTGCATTGTAAGTCACCTGAACCGTCAACCATTGTACTTTTCCATGTCGAGATGCTCCCAAATTGCCTGCCTTCTGAAACCACCTTACTATGCTGCTTTTCTCCAGCATTTCTGAGAAAGCAACATTTCTCTTTCTTTGATAGTCATGTTTTTTCTGGAGGGTGATGGCAGCAGAAAAGTACTCATTTTCGCAAGTTTGAAAAATGTTCTGTTTGCTCCCACTGTATCACTTAAAATAATAAAAGATTCTTTTTCTGAGGGTGAGCAGAATTATAATCAATAGTTTCATCTTCGTAGCAAAGTGAAAATGGCATGTTCTCTTCAAGAATTTTTCAAGGCAGAAATGGGTAGTTCCTATATATGACCACCAATAATTTTGTTCATAAAAAGAAAGGCTCATTACTAGATTATAGGTATGTTATCTATTTATTATATTTTAATCTACCTAATAACCAAGTTCTCTGGGCAACTGATCTGCTGATTTCAAACATGCAGTAAAATAACTTCCCAAAATGCATAATGAATGCATTAGTAATACAACATAACGGCCCCAATCACAATGACCCTATAGGATAGCCCCCAGAAGGAAGCAGGTGTGCTTTCAGCAGACTCAAAAGCCCATAGGCTGGCCCTGTCCTCAACAGCCTCATCATGGATTGTTCGTTCAGCAAGACTTGTGTCTGGAGAAAGGCAACTTCAGGTGGGCTGAGCGTGAGAGAGGTGATGCCACGAGGACACATCCTTTCACAACTATCAACAAGGAGTCACTATGCCATAGTAACTGGGACGTGAGAATGAGCCCCAAGAAAGGATTGTGCCTCAAAGGCGGCAAGATGATGGAGAAGCTGTTCAACCACCCACGCGACTCACCTTTCACAACCCTCTTCTGCAGTTATACGACTGGAATTTTCCTTGCAAATTCCCAGGGCAGAATAGCAGAGTATTACCATTACAGATATAATGTATTCCCCAGTGCCTTTCAGTCTGGTGAAAAGTTGATAGTGGATGATCCTCCCAATATATTACACAGGAGTTACTCTTATGAGTATGTTTTAAATAAGTTATCTCAAGAGCCTCCCAAACATTGCACAGAAATGAGTTTCTCTGGGCCAGGAGCAACCAGGAGATTTCCCGCATAGGGATTGCTTTCGCTTTGGCCCCTAAATATAACCTCAGTTCTCACGCTGTATATCAGAGGTATACACTCAGAGGGCCCAGGAGACTTTGGGGTTCAGCACATGTGGGAAAATTAGCCATACCCTTAGCCTGTTGGGCAAATCAGGCCACCTGGCTTTTTCCCATGTAATTTGACACAGCAATTTTGCCTTAACTCAGGTTTAGAGTTCACACATTGTGTGATCTCAGCCCTCCTGTTTCTTTCCTTCTAGAGGAAAGCAGCTAATGTATTGCTCACCCAAGACCTACTTTCAGTCCTGATCGTTGCAATCACAAAACCCTCACTGGGTCCAAGTCCTGGGGGGGAGCGTGATCCCTGTTTAGAGCACACCCAGGCTGTACATGCAGATGGACCGTCGCGGCCTCTTCATCCTCCTTGCGCCCACCTCAGTGAGCTTATCAGACATGGCAGCAAGCAGAAATCCTCCTTTTTAGAAGTGCGTCATGTAATGAGTTTCAGAGGGACGCTGGAAGGACTCTGCCCTCAGCCTCTGTATGGTGCACTAAATCTTCTAAAAGAGAAGGGCAGAGAGACTTGCTTTCGCCTTAACATGTTGATGCACCCATGCAACAGAAATCGCCAGAAAGCCAAAGGTGCACCTTGAAACCTCCAAAAGTTGTTAAAAAAATGTAAAGGGGAAATTATTAAAAGGAGAATAATTAAAAAACTATGTTTAATTCAATTTAAATGCAAATATTAAGGCTGTGCAGCACTTCAGATGAAAAGGCAAAAAAAGTGCTTTGGAGCACATGAGGTGCACACTAAGGTTGCACAACTCTTCTGACCCAAAGTGGGAAAGAGGCTTCAGAGCGGATGTGGGTGAGCTCTCTGCCTTTTCCTGGGCTCACGTAGCCCTGTGGCCCCAGGAAAACGTGGATTTGAGTTCTGGGGTGCCAACAGGAGGCAATAAGGTGTTCACACCCTGTCATTGCCTCCTAAGTGCAGTGAGCGCCCCCACATCCCCTCCAAGGGACATTTTTCATTTCAGATCCAAACGCTGCCCATGTGGGACTTGCCCACCATTCCTTAAAGCACCTGCATCTTTTCCGGGGGTCAGGCTGCTGCTGTTGCTGCCCAGGACATCCACATGAGCCTGGGAGAAGATGCGCTTGGCTTAACAAATTGCAGGCAGGGCCCATATGTGCACCCAACGAGTCCCAGCACACCCGTTTGGCTTCATATCTGAAGCAATACTCATCCCTAGTAAATGTATTATCAAATTCAGATTTTCTCCTTCCCAACTCACTTCTTTTTGGATGGCAGGCCTGGCACATCACTCAAAGATCAGCACAGCTCCCCAGTGGAAGCCGCTGCCCTTGCCACAGAATTAGGAAACTGCCTTGTACATAGTTATGGCCCTGGTTGATCCAGGTCCGCGCCCTCCCTCGACTGACAGAGCCCCCCTGGAAACTTTCAGAGCAGTGGGATGAACGCTGTGGGGTGGATGTGGACTCTTTAACAGGCAAAGTAGGTCTTCCCCTATTTTGAAACCAGGCACCACGGACATGGCAATTCCCAACATTTTTATGGCAGGTCATGTTGCTGTAATGTGGTCATCGTATTATGATGCTAAAGCTGTTTGCAGCCTACAAGCCAGCAGGACCTCATGGAATCCTGCAGGAGCATTTTGGAGTCTCTCAGGTGCAAGTCATGGCACATACTTGAAAAGAAATTTCCAAGGGAGGGGAGCCTTGCAAACATTTCTTCATACTGGGGAATAATTTCTGACCTTGTCGTTAGAACAGTAAAAAGCTAAAGGATGGTGGGATGCCTTCCGGTGCCTGTTACTCGCAAAAACCGGGTCCTCCAGTTCGGTAACTGGGGTGGAAGTTGAGGGTGTCCAAGAAAGTGATGAAGTTGTCAGGGCCAGTCACATAGCTTTTTTCCAGGGTGGTGTTGATTCCATGGTTCCTGTACATGCCGAACTTGATGAAACGATCAGAGAAGTTGTGTGGACTGACATGGAAGCTGGTCTGTGAAGAGTCAGAAAGAGGAGGACAGCCTTTAGTCATTTGGAAAGAGGCCACTCAGGCCGTCTGGAGAATCACGAAGTCTGGAGTCAGTTTCAGGAGTCACAGGAGGACCACGTATGCTTCATTGCTAGTGCAAGAATACCCAAAGGGGTAGAAAAACCTGGGGCATCCATCCAAGTATAAAGACCTTGTGTTCGTAGGCTGCTCAGGTGCCAATTTGTGAGGGTGAGCCTAACCCAAAAGAGCCTGGAGGGGGCAGCGAACCGGTTGGATGCAGACCAGGAGACCCAGTTGCAAATCCCCCCTCAGCCACATGAGCTCCCTGGGGGACTTTGGGCCAGCCACTGTCTCTCAGCCCAACTTACCTCACTGGAGATAAAATGGAGACCTCCATCTAAGAGGACTTATCCCCTTGCAGACACTTAGAAAGAGATTTTTTTTAATTGTAAGCCTCCCAGAGTCACCTTCTGGGGGAAATGGGTGACATATAAATTTAATAATCATAAAAATAAAAAAATGAAATAAAATAAAAGTCAAGGACTGAACAGGGGATGCTTCCCCTTTAGTCACTTCCAGAGAGTAGTCTAGTCAGACAATGTTGTGTCACAGCCACTTCGAATTAGTCAAGTGCCATCAAGTTCCTCCTCCTCCTCAAGGCCAAAGCTAAATTCCTCTACATGATGAGGCTACAAAGCAGGCTTCTCCAACCTGGAGCCCTCAAACCTGTTGAGCTACAACCCAATCATTCTCAACCAGCCTGTTTACTGGAGCCCATTTTGATCGTTTCATGTGTTAGCCCCAGAAACAATCAAAGGCACCTGATGAATATATGACTATCTGGTTCAGATGTTTCTTCAAGGCCATACTGGTCCCTCGATATACAAGGTTGGGAAAACTGTCATTCTGGTTATGAAGCCAGGAATGAGCCCCAGGCAAAGCACTTCGCGCTTCCTCCCCAGCCCAATTGCATTAGTAGATTTCTTGCAAAGATCTTAGCTTGTGTGAAGCCGGACTTTCCCATCTATCATTTCTGTAATATTATATTCTGCCTCTCCTATATGGGAGGGCATGGGGATGGGGTTCTCCTTATCTTTCCCCCCACCAAAATAAGAATATAGGCTCAGCTGAGAGGTAATAGTTGAGTTCACAGAAGAGACTAGATGAAGCTAAAATAAGACTAGAGAATTTGAGGCCTACCAAATTGTAAGAACCTGGCCCTTGAACCCAACTCTATGCATCCATGCCCCAATATATCAGAAGCTAGTTTATTTCTTCACTGAACCAGTTCATTTACTTCCTGGTCAGGAACCGCCATTATATTTAGATCTCATTACTGACCGGCATCTCATGCACCGTTGGTGGTTTTCCTCCGTAATCCATGTTGGTTGTCCTGAACAATGGATTGCGCTCTTTCACTCTGAAACGACAACATCCAATAACCCTCAGCCAGGTGATTGATCACGTTGGCATTTCCTCTCCTCCCCCTGCTGCCCCTCTTTCTTTTGGAAATAAATCATCAACATCCACCTTTTTTCCTTCAGAAAAAGCTTTTCTTCCTTGAAGGAACCAGTTTCACAATCAGGGTTGTGTTCACCCATTACGTAAGCCTTCAGCAGGCAGACTGTGTTAGTGCCATGTCTGAACCTGTGTTCTGTAACCACTTCGTAAGCCCCTTCCTGTACATCTTGCCCCTTAAACCGCTCCCCCCAAACAAAAAAGGTCTAACTTTTCCAGCCTCGCTCACTCTGGGAAGACCCAGGTGGCTGCAAGTAGGCTCTCTTCCCTGCCATAAACTATGGTTTTCTAACCACAGTGGCTGGGTTTCCAAATCATACCTAGCCAGCACCCAACAAACCCCCCTCCCCACTCACAGCGAGGACCCTACTCCTTGCCCCATCGAGTCGGCAGCTTTGCACTCAGCAGGGGCTGGACCGGACTGAAGAAGGGCCTCTCAAAACCCCACACGGACCTCGCTAGCTGCGTGCTCAGCCTGCTTCTCCAAGCTGGTGCCCCAACGGGGTCTGGGACTTAGTGGGGGCTGGCTGCCCCGTCCACTCACCTGTAACCTCGAAACCATCCCGGGTTGTTGAACCGGGCAGGTAAGTCCTCGCTCACTTGGTAGTGATCGCTGGTTCTCTGGGCTGCGCTCCCTTCGTCCGCCGTGCGCAAAGCGGTGGCTGCTTCCGGCTCGGGCTCTTCCTGGGACATGGAGACGGGGGGCTCAGGGCAATGCCCCTTCGTTCCAGGGGAGAGAAGAGAGGAGAAGACCCCGTGAGAGAGGGAGCCCGGACCTCCCTGGGTATCCGAGCGCCGGCTTTGGTGTGGAAACCAAGCCCAGGTTGCTAGGAAACAGCTGCAGGAATCAGGCGCCTTTAAAGCAACAGCAGCTTCCTTGCAGCATCCCCGACACGCCGCCGGGTCTGCCTAGCCCTGGCTGGGGAGGAGGGGGCGGGCCGAATCCCCCCTTCTGCGTTGGCGAACGAGGCTGAGCCCCCACTCAGCCCATTGTGCCAACGCCGTGCAAGGAAGGCAGCCTCCTTCAGGGAGCGGGAAGCAGAGCCATCGCAGGAGACATAGGCGAGGAAAGCCCTCGGCAAAACTGGCCCCGTTTTCCCCAGGATCCAAGGACAGCCTGGATTCCAGGACTAGGTCCCTCCTGCTCGTCTTCTTTGCACAGCCCGAGGCCCAGAGGCGTTGGCTGTCCCCTCACGGCCTCCCAAAGTTACCTGCAAGTTGTAATTCTTAGCATGATGACGTGGAGGGGGAGTAACTGCACTTAATTTAAAATAATTCAATAATTCAATAATTAATAATAATTCAATAATTCAATCAGGTTTAGCTCTTCTAAATTCAAAATAATTCAATAATTCAATCAGGTTTAGCTCTTCTAAATTCAAAATAATTCAATAATTCAATCAGGTTTAGCTCTTCTAAATTCAAAATAATTCAATAATTCAATCAGGTTTAGCTCTTCTTGCTCCGCCCCATTCTGTGTCCTTCGGGTCCCCCCTCAGCACTGGAACATGAAGCTTGGGGGAAACCCCAGGATTCAAGATTGTGCATAATGTCCGCTTGGGGGGTGGGGAGCCCCTTTAAGCTAGCAATCTGAAACCAAAAAGCAGCAGCTGTCAGAACCTGCAGCAATCGAATGAATTGCCAAAAGCGGACTGATTTATTGGGGATAATAAATGTTGG